GAGTGTCAGGGACCAGTCCATCCAGTGTCCCCAGTGGCGGAATAGGAATCTGTGGGAGGGAAGGGGGGAGTCCAAGTGGGGAAAAGTGTCAATAGTGGTCTGAGGGGAGTTGTGGAAAACCCGTCATAAGGCCAGGGGCTCCAAGGACTGGGGTGATTTTGTGAAGGGATTTTTCAGGGGTTGTGTGACAGGAGAGCTGGGCCTGAGGGGCTGGGCAGGGCTGGGGGTGACTGCCGATAGGCTGGGTACCCAGGGGTCCCAGGGTGAGGGGGTAGGTTGACATGTATGCTGAGGAATGGGGTTGGAGGGGAGGGTTCATGACACACTCATTGAAGTTGTGCAGGTCATTGAGGAGGATGAGCCCGATGTATAGCCAACACAGGGAGAGGAGGAAGGTGAGGAAGAGCAGGCCAAACCAGATATAGTCACACTGCAAAGGAGCAGAAGAGAAGCTCACAGCTGATCCCATTTCCAGTTCAGAGTCCCCAGTGGATGGCAGCTCAAGGGAGCTTCCTGCCATGCGCTAGGCTGCTCTGCTCTGCCCTGGGGCAGCTCTTTCCATACCTGAGGGAGATTTTCTTCCTGGGGAGAGAAAACCCCTTCCCCCATAGCTGCCTTTGAGCACCATTGGCCTCCTTATCCCCTCCACTCAGCCTCTGCCTTCTGACTTCCAGCCTCCCACCTCCATCCCTACTCCACCTTGCTGGTTCGCATCCTCTCTTTGGGGCATTTTCCTCCAGTGGCAGCTATACAGGCAGTGAAGGCAGCGGGCCAAGACGGAGCAGCAGCCAGGGGACTCGGCCATGGTGGAGGCCTGGGGGAAGGGACACTTGGCCATCAGAGACCCTGGCAGAGGGCAGATCTCAGCCTCCCTCCCATTGTATTCAGGAGCCTGAGGGAGGTGCAGAGGCCTAAGCCACTGCTAAGGAACGGTCACAGGGCAGGCCTAGATTGGATGAGGTGATCAGCCCGGGCTCCAAGCCTGGCAAAGGAGTATCACCAGGTCTTTCTTTCCCTTTCTTCTTGATACCTGGAAAGTCAGCAGAACACACCAGGAGATCTAGCCTCTTTGCAGGCAGGATGCATACCCACTCTCTCCAGCTCCCCCTCATTTGACATTATCCAGCTCTGGAGATTAGAGTGCCTGCCCAGGGTGAGAATTCAGAAGAAACTGCCCAGGGTGGGGCAAGCTCAGTTCAGCAAGTTGAGGCAGATCTGGCCAAGCTTGAGGCAGCCTCACATTAAATTGCCTTCCACCCCAGGAAACAGGAGTAACCCGAAGCAGAGGTTCCATTTCTGACCTGGGGCTAAGGGAGGCCCAGCTAGTTGGGTAGTTGCTATGGATACAGAGATTGCACAAATCACAAAGCCTTGACTGAAAGATTCTGTGTCTACCTCTCTGGGCCAGGGGATACTGCCAATAAAAGGAAGCTGAGGGGAGCAGGTTGTCTGGGTCACTCTCAGCCTCCTAGAGGAATCCTGTCCCTATCCATCACACTTGGAAAATCCCAGCCCTCCTTCCCT